GTATTACAATATAACAACAGCCACTTTTGTGGGTCTAATAATATTAGCTTTTGGCATTTTGGGCTTCCTTTTAGTTGCTCTGTAAAGGTTGTTCAGGGCCACGTAATGCTGAAAACAGTCTTATTCCTCAATTAAAATATTTTATTGCAAACAGTTGTGCATGAAATACTTGTTTAATGCTAATAGAATAGAAATTTAATAGAAACCAAAACCAACATTAAAATTTCATCCATGCCTACAGATGCCAGATAGGCATTACAAATGATCTTCTAACACTTGATAGTGTTTAGGTTAATTTCTTGGTTTTCACTCAGGTCTCAAGCATGGAAATGATTGAAGACTCTAACCGTACAAGCCAAAGTTTTCTCAGTGTTTATTATAAGTTCATGAACTGAAATTTTGTTTTAAATAACATTTGGCAGTGAAGCTCAAAAATCCAGTGCAAAATGGATCAGATAGTAACTCTACCTGTCCTGGTAATGTTCTGGTAGTCATCACCGCACCTGGTCTAGTAGTGAAAAGCTTGGGCTGATACAAATACAAATGTCCTTTCTTCTTCTCCTGCCCCGCTAACTGGTGCTGTTTCTGCTGCTTATCATGTTCTTGTCTATTATTTTCCAAAGCCTAATCATAATTATATCCTAAAACCAGTAGCTATTGCGTCACAGCTGCTTCTTGTAGATACAGAACGTCTTGCCAGTTTAGTGTGTATTCCAGTGTTCGCTAGCAGCCGCATGCTGTGACTGAAGACTCCCTGCAAATGCCAGTTCATCTTTAATTTTTCAGAAAGAACTATAAGCGATGAATGTATTTCAGATGAAACTCGCAAACGTCTCTTCAGTTAATTAATCCTCAGTTTAAGATACTCAATGAATCTTTGTGAAAGCAACTACAAAGACTCATAGCAGCGTATAAATTGTGCCGGAGAACCTTGAATGACCAAGAGTCTTTTGAAGTGTGCTGGTTTAGGTTCAAAACTACTTTTTGTGTTGATTAGTTTTAAAATATATTTTACACAGACATCTGCATGAGTGCATATTATCCCTTATTTTTCCATCATAAGCTCGGTGAAGGTTCAGGTCTCAAATAACAGTAAAGTTGATTTTTAATTTTATTATTCTGCATTATTCTGTTAATTATAATTATTTATAATAAGATTGTTAGCAATTTTGACTAGTTAATCCCCCTCATAAAGAAGAGACAGATTACTGAAGTCTGAATGTAAAGACATGATGACATAATGTATCAGTTGCACTTAGGAAATAGTTGACTGAGATTCAGCAGTGGGCTTCATACATTGCATTAATGCAATACTTTGTTGCCATCATGGGCTATCATTAATCTTGGAAAGGTTGTACAAGACCTATTCTTTGCTGGAATACTTAATAACAATAAGCTGTCTAATTGCGAAGAATACTGAAACCCAGTGTGCAGGTGGTGAACAAAAAATGTGCAGGTGGTGAACAAAAAATGGAATTACGGAAAAGCTTCTACCTCCAGGCAATAAGACTGCTAAAGAGCCAACCTCCAGCTTCTTCAGCAAATCACCTGCAATGGCTACATGGACATACAGTTTTAATTGTATTTGGCATACTTCACTACTTGGACATAATATATTGCATAAACCCTGGACACTTAACAGATCTATTAACATTGAGTTTTGTCTGAGATATTTTGTCTTATTTTAGTCAGTTTTATTCAGTTTCTCTTGCATCATTATTTATTATTATGTAACCTTATTTTGTAACCTTAATTTAGTGATTTGTATCCCCCCGATGAGTTAGTAGAAAAGACATTTCATCGCCAGTAACTACTGCTGCATGCTGTATTGTTGTGCATTTGATAAATAAACTTTGATTGATTGATTGATACATGAGGGACACATGCTTCATTGTTTTCTTGACATACGAATGAGTGCACTTGTGGTGCCAATCTAAACAACAGGCACATTTTCCGTGGTTTGGGTGCACTCATTCCCATAGAAGGCAAAGTTAATGCCAATCACTGCTTAATGGTACTGAGTGACAGTCTACACTCTGTGTTGCAGCATTTCTTTCCTAGTGGAAGTTCTACTTTCCAGAATATCAATGCCTCCATCTACAAAGTGTGTATGGTCACCCAGGGGTTTGATGTTGGCCTTCTTGGTCACAAGGTCTGAGCCCAGTCTAGCATTTATGGGATATTCTGGATTGATGTCTGGAACAGATATCTTACTTTCATCATCCATGAGTGTTTCTGACCCATTTCATTACTTAGTAATGTTCTTCACAAGGTATGATAACATAAGATAGTCTGCAAAGGAATTAGGGCCATGTGGCTCATGTTGCTGTTTACTGGCAAAGTAAATTTTAAAACCTTGTTCAACCATGTTGCATGACATGAAATATCAGAAATATCACCAGACTACGTCTTATTTAGTTGCTAACTGTTGCAAAAAAGCAGGGAAACACTTTAGTTTTTTCTTTGAATGACTACTGTAATGCTCTACTTGCTGGTGTATCTAAATCAACATTGAACACACTACAGTAGGTGCCGAATTTGGCAGTCAAAATGCTGACCAGGTCTAGCGCAAGTGATCACATTACACCTATCCGGCTTCCTGTCCGGTTTCGTGTCGACTTCAAAATCCTCATGCTCACCTACAAGGCTCTGCATGGCTTGGCACTTGTCTGAGTTATCGTTACTCCTCATAACCTTTGCTTGTCTAGTTCTGGTCTCCTGTCTGTCCCCCAAGCCTGTCTGCACACTGTGGGTAACAAGGCATTCTCCTGTTATGCCTCAAAGCTCTGGAACTCTATCCCTTAAGATATCAGACATTCAGAGTTCTTTCAAATATAGACTCAAAACCCTTTTAGAAGGGGTTTTATTTAACATTCTGTGTGCCCCTGTTTTCCAAACAGACACCTACTGTCTCCTCTCCATTTTTTTTTCTTTGTTGTTTTTCTGTAAAGCCCTTTGAGAAGCCACTTTTAAAGACACTATATAAAAATAAAGTGTATAATTATTATAAATGGTTAGTCATCAACAGGAATGCTCTGGACAGATATTCCGGATCCCTTCTTCTGTCAGCACTTAAGTTCCTGGTAGTTTTGCACTATAAGTAAATGACAGCACCAACGTGGAATGCTGATCGGTGAATCCTTTATCGCCTATGTGGCAGTGATTGATGTACTGTACATAAAAGTTTCTCATCCTTAAGCAAGCAAGAAGAAAACGCCCTCCTAGAACATTACTGGCTAACATACCATAGCTGACTGATGCGGATTTGCTTTTTCAAATTATCTACAGGAAGAACATTCAAGGGAGGTGACCATGAAACATCTCATTGCTCAACAGTGCCAAAAAATAGTAGTCAGACCCTTCTGATGCTGCCCTAATTTATTATACAAAATGATACAAGTTTTTAAGCCTAATACTTTCTCCAACACCTGAATGCTCAACCTGAAGACTTCTAAGAGCAAGATGATACATTGAATGTCAGAAAAAACTAAAGAGAAAAAACTGAAATGTGTTGATTGTTTTTAGGCCTGTGAACGTAATTTTTAGAGGGAGCACCTTAGGCAGCAATTACAGCTCCAAGTGTTTTTTTGTCTTTATCTACCTTGCACACATCTGGTGAAATGGTTGCCTATACTTTTTTGCAGACTTGCTCAGGGTCTCTCAAGTTGATAGGACATTTCTAATGTACAACAATTTTCAAGTCTTTCCACAAATACTCAGTAGGATTCAAGCCAGGACAGAACCATTCAAGGATATTCACTTTTTGTTATTCTTAAGCCCCTTCAACATAACTTTGGCATTATGCTTTCCTGCTGACAGGTGAATTCGTGTCCCAGTTTTAGGTCTGAAGCAGATTTTCCTCTAGGATTTGATAGTACTTTTCTCCATTTGTGTCACATCAGTCTTGACAAGCTTTCCAGTCTGTGCTGATAAGAAGCAAAACTATGATATCATGCTGCCACCAACATGCTTGACAGTGGAGATACTGCTGACTAAGTGATGTACTATGTAGGGTTTGGGTCAGATGTAATGCAAATTCTTCGCATTACAACAAAACGTTCTTATTTTGTCTCGTCTTACCATACAAATGTTTGCTAAATGTTTGCAATGTTACTTAGGTGCTTAGTTTGTATTAGTAGGAGTTGAGGTGTTTCTTTTTTAATTTCTTTTTTAATTGGCATCCTTAACCAGGTTCCTCGTTGTCTGGCTTTTCATTTTGGAAGAACAATGTTATCTTGGCAGTGTCTTATTGCCTTCTAGTTCTTAATGATTACAGTACCTTCACCATGCTGACTGGGATATTAAAGGTCTTTGAAATGTTTTTATATCCTGCTTTTGACACTCTCTCGAACTTTGTTCTAGAAAGCTCCCTGGTCTTCATGGTTGAATCTCTGCTTGACATTTACTACCTGACTGAAGGATCTTACAGAGATAGGAGATTCGTTCTGAGATGATGTCTACCACTCTTACAGCATACAGACTAATCAACTAATTGAGTCGCTCATTTAAGTAATTTTGTCCAACTGTATAAATTTCAACTTTGCCACTTGGCTTAGCTAGCAACGGGTTTGAATACTTATGCAACGTAAATGTGTGGAGTAGGCTGTACTGTATATATAACAAATATCAATTGCTACTTCAAAGTGTCATGACTGCAAGCTTAAAAGCAGCAAAATGTGAAAACAGGGGTCTGAACAGTTTTTCAAGGCACTGTATTAAAAAGCCTCTTCTGTGTTTGTTACCTTGGCAACCACTAAGTCAGTTATATTGAAAGACGGGGGCATCGCCTGCTAGTCAATTATCCTATTGCATATGCAGTTATAACAAACTATTAACCTGGCTAAACTGTGTTAGATGTTAAATCTGACCTGCTGTTTATATTGAGGCTAATGGTTGGAAATGGGTTTGACATTGGTGATCTTACATTTGTGCAAGTTAATGACTATAAAATATAAAGTATAGGAAGCTGCAAATCCATTTAATCTGTTTTTCTTTTTCAGGCATCCAGGAGTTTCCAGAAAACATCAAGAACTGCAAGGTGTTAACCATGGTTGAAGCCAGTGTAAATCCCATTTCAAAGTAAGGCCTCCCTGTTTGTTTGATCCTCTGTCATGAATAACCTTCCCCAAGCCCCTGTTTGGTTGACTTGTGTGCCTCTCATCTTGTGCAGATGTTCTGTCTCAAGACATTATCTCTATAGTAATTAAACTGGGCTTTATGTCTGGGCCAAAATTAGTGTCTTGAAAGAGGCAGCCATATATCTACTAAAGTATTTGTTTTTGTCTGAGGCTGAAATCAATCTAATATGTATGTGGCACCCGCCTTATACTTCGAATGTCCCGGGATTTTTTAAAAATGGTTTGCTCACACTGCCTAGAAAAAGAAGCCATATTGATAGACATACACATGATTTTAACACTGCTGTTGTGTATTGTTAAATTTGTTAGAGGCTAGTTACTAACAGGGGACTGAGTGTTCAGAGTGCATGAATCAGTGTGGAGATTAATGTGCAGCACATGCAGTTAGGTCCTCTTAATGGGTGTGCAATATCTCCATCCACAACTTTGACGTTAACCTTTACAATTTGATTAATGGCATATAAGGTGTGAAAACAGTCTTAACTTAGTTGTCACTGTGACGTCCCTAGGCTGCTGTTGACCTTTTTGAAAGGTGAGACACATAATCAGAAGAAATTACACGCCCCCCCCCCCCCCCCAACAAATTAATCAAATCCAGTCTTTCATAAAACTGTTGGCCGGAGTTCTGTGCACCACTGAAAAATAACTAGCAGGTGTGTCCAGACTTGTGCCTAACTACTTAATTAGCACAGCGGTGCTCTTAGTGACCCTTTGGCTGATAGTTTTCTATGGTTACAAGGCAGCTTTATGAAGCAGCAGCTGGCTTTGTACCAGGGCCTTGCTGCACTCTTCCGCTACAATTGCATTCCACTGAAGGTATCATAATGAGTTCTCATTTTTAATTGGGAAGCTCTTATTGTTGAACTGTTACATTTAGGTGTACAACCTTTCGTTTTCAATCAAGGGCTGTTTTTTTACACACACTTGATTTGGATAGGCTGAGTGTTTACCGTGTCTTGGGCTTCGGCTACAATCCCAGTCCCCCTGCCTTCGCAGACAGGAAACAGCAAGGAGGAGCAGGCAGACATCTCCCTCCCGCCCACCTACAAGCCGCTCGTCCTTTCACACGCCACAGGCAGTGCTGCCCCGTACCGGAGGTTCAGCACCGATTGGGGAAAATTCAGGTGTGCCCAGGAGGCAAGAGGAGGTTTATCCCACCCTGCCCTGGCTGTTCGTCAAGTCAGTTGTGTGTAGCTGGTTGGGTTACAGCTAACCAGTTTCAGACATCCAGGCTTGAAGGATTCAAGTGTGACCCCAGCGTGAGCACCATTGCCTTCAGAGCCAGTCAGGTGTATGAACATGAACATTTAACGGTTTAGTTAAAGAGTGACACAGTTGTTACCATTGCTGCCTCACAGCTCTGGGGCTATGGGTTCAGTTCCTGGGGTGCTGTCTGCATGGTGTTTGTATGTTCTCCCCATGTTCGTGTGGGTTTCCTCTGGGTGCTCTGGTTTTCCGGCTTCTGGGGGTTAATTGGCTTCTGGGAAGATTGGCCGTGGTATGAGTGTGTGTGTGTGTGTGTGTCCATGTCTGTGTGTGCCCTGTGATAGACTAGCTTCCTGTCCAGGGTGTATCCCACCCTGCTGAGATAGGCTTCATCCCCTCCGTGACCTTGAATTGGATGAAGCAGTTAGAAAATGGATGGATTACAATGATTTGCAGAAGACAAATCGGCTTATGAATAAAAAAAAATATAAAAAACATTTGGAATGTCTTAGTTTGGGCACATCTCGCTTGGAATGCTGTTCCCAAGATTTAGATCCTGTTTGGTTAATGAGGTGTTGATTTCATGTGGGTGCAGGGGTTGGGCATAACTGCTGTAGGAGCTGATTTGATCGCCTGCTCTTGTCTAAGCTCAAGGTGCGCAAATGACAGGGGTGCCGTTTAATTTGCAGTGACATTTCTTTGAATTGATCGAGGTCTAGAAACATACCAGTAATATGGGTTAAAATTAGAAAACGGAAAGCATTGTCATGTATGGTTTCTTTTGCTAGTGGAAGCTTTTTGTCATGACATTTGGTACAGATAAAATCATACAGAAAAATCCAAACATTTGAGTTCAGTTGTTTTAATAAAATAGTATTATAATGTGTGTTAAATTGAACCAATTTAAGAGGAGAAATGTTTAAGATGACCTGTCCAGTTTAATTCCTGCATACCCAGCCTTCTCCTGTCAATGCAAATTCTGTTTTTGAATCAAACTGAACGAACAACTTAACATTTAATCTGTTTTCATGAATTCCTCAGGCACCTCCTAGGTGCCGTTTGCTCTTCATTGTATATATTATCTGACAGTGTTTTATCCCATTGTCTTGTGCCCGAGAAGGAAGAATCACCTTGCTAGAAAAAGACCAGACACATGGTGTGTTTGAGCGACAGTGTGATGGGCAATCACCGAATTAAGGGGTTTCTAAAGTGCTGAAGAGCACCGTTTACAGATTTGGACTTTTTTTCTTGCAATTCATTTGTGAAACCATTTAAATGTCAGTTGGTTAAAGCAATATTCATCACACAGTGCTTGGGGTGTATTTATACCTGCTGACTACCATGTATTCTGTACCCTGTAAGTCAATCAGTTCTTCAACCTTATGCATTCCTTTTCTCCCCTTCCTCTGAATAGGCTTCCGGAAGGATTTACTCAGCTCCTAAGTTTAACTCAGCTATATCTGAATGATGCCTTTTTGGAATTTTTACCAGCAAGTTTTGGCAGGTAAGGGCGATATTTGTTCCACAGTTGGCAGCAGAAGAATGGCAGCAAATTCTGTTCTCAGACCAGTGTAATAAAATATCTCTTGCTGTGGAAAGTACAGTTAATGGCAGTGGCTGGGGTGTGTTGCTTCTTGGGCATCCTGTGCGAGCTGTAGCCCTGCGTCCTCTGTTGCTGTTTTGTGGCCTGTGTCTCTGTTACTGCAAGCGCCAGGAAGGAAATCCGAACCGGCAGTGGTATTAAAAATATACTTCCTGCATATGGACCACAGTATTACAGGTGATTAAAATGGCAGTCACATGGAAGAGTTTTTTTTGTTGTACATTTACAGCCTCATGACTGTAGAAACCTTGTATATACAAATATTTTGAGAATGTATTGTTTTGTAAAAAAAAAAATGTCGTGTGGCAAGTTCTATAGTATAATATTAGAAAGTTCACAATGCAGGCAGTGTATATCTATATATATATATTGCTGTTTTTCATCTGTTGGTCATGAATGCTGACAGACTAAGAATAATTAATACTAAGTTACCAATACTAAATGCTAACTGTAACTCTAACTAAGATGAGTGTGTTTCACTTTTCACTTCTTTGGACAGAAAGCAGCTATTGAATACACAGGTATATTTCTGTCCCTTATACTGCATTTAAGGACACAAGATAGTAGTAATGTTTTATTTAAAAATATGACTTTTTCTGATTACCTCTGATTCAGCAACACACCATTTACATTTTCTGTTAGAGGGCTTAAAAATCACATGCCAATGCACAGAAAATGTGCTGTTTTTATCCCTGTACCTCTGCACTTATTCTCCTGTACCTAACCATGGGAGAGCTGTGGGTCTTAAAAGCTACCCTTCATGTACTTCAAAGAAAATACATCATTACTTTTCTTTAGATCGGATAAGTCAATTTAAATGCTTAACTGCTAGTATAAACTCATTAGCTTCCATCTTTCTTTAAATGTTCTATGTAGACTATTCATTTAGGAGAAAGCTTTAGAATTTGAGCACATTTTTCATTTACAAACTTACTGGTAGAAAATTATTTCTATAAAACCTATAACTGATTAATTGTATTTTATAAGGAAAGTAAATGCTGAACAGTTAGTACATAATGTCAGTGGCATTTCAGTTTCAAGAATGTTTGCGGTATGATAAAGTGCTCTCAGCTGCTCTTTAACATCAAGGCTTTGATCTCAGTTGGGTTCTGAACCAGTTGCAGTCTTTTCACTGTGGTGTTTTTAAAAAGCACACGCCAATCTCATTCCAAGGATAAGAGTACAAATGCATTGAAGAGTGTCTGATCTGTATTATTTGAGAAGGAATATATCTTTTAACAGTGAACTTGAGAACTGTTTGAAATCCTGAGCATTTATTCAGCATGCATGCAGTTTTAATAAAGTTAGAATATTGTTTCAAAATGTGAGGTTATATTGTTTTGCGGTTACTGTATGTAGAAAGTCTACTGGCTAAATAGAACAAATTAATATTTTTGTGCAAAGGTTAACCTTTTTATCTGTGTATTTATGTCTGTGTTTATGGTGACTCTTAAAGCAGTATTAGCTGATAAAGGCTCACTAATATTTTCCAACATGATGTTTAATTTAGATAAAGAACTTTCAGCACTGTAATTATAATACCAACTTTACCAATACTACCAACAACATTTTATTGTATTGTTACTGTGCCCATCTTTTTAATCTTTTTCTGCCTCTGTCTGTTACCCTCAATTATTTTACATATTTCTAGAAAATAGTTTTGTAGAAATCTCACCTAGCTTACAGTAGAGTGAATTAATTTTGTCATACTGTAATTATTTAAGCTGTGTTCTGATGTGCTACTAAGTCATTCTGATTATTGACATTCAGGGGCTCACTTTCGTAGCTCAGTTTTGTTGTGCTTGATTTTCAGATTGACCAAACTGCAGATTCTGGAATTAAGAGAGAACCAGTTAAAGATATTACCAAAGTAAGTAGACCGCTTCTTGAGTCATCGTACTGAACTGGTTTGGAAAAAGGATTATTTGTTTTAATGTTTAAAGCTATACTTTCTATAGATGCTACTTTTGTTATTTTTACTGGCCACAGCCATCTTACAGAATATTTTTTATTCTTTCTCTTATTATATGAATCAGTGTGATCCATCTCCTTTGAGTGTCTCTGTAACATTTTTATTCTAGCTGAACTCTTAATGACCTAAATCAGTTTGTTTGGACTGATTTGCCAAGGTCAGGAAACCTGTAGACACACTGTCCCTGCAGTGTGATTTGGACAACCTGGGAGGAGTCAGTGGTTCTTGCTTAAACTACCCAGGTGCAATGAGTTGCTTCATTACAACTTCATGAGTTGTCTGAAGTGCTAAATTTGTCTATTTTCAAACTCTTAACTATTGAATTTGAAGGCGTTCTTTCATGTTCTGTATCAGATTTGTACAAAAATGCTTATTGCACTTATGTGCAGTGCAATTGTGTTGTGCATGTAGTGTCCTGCATACCAAAGCATTTCCAGGTGCTTTAACAAATCGAAAAAGCTTGTGCGCAAAATTCACTAATGTTATAACCACATGCTCAAAGCTAACAGGTCCAAATTTTGTGATTATGTGGAATGATTAAAAATTAACTTTTGAGTGACCCAACCTGTAAAAAGCAGCATTTACCTTGTAGAGCAGTGGTTCTCAAACTTTTTGGACCAAGTACCACCCCTAATCCAACCAAAGCATCCAAGTACCACCTACAAGTCATCATCTCATAGGAACCCCCAAAATTCTCAATGACCAACATGAGTGTGCGTGCACACACACTCACACATACATATAATAAATATTATAATAATAAACTTTATTTGATATAGCACCTTTAAAGGTGGCTTCTCAAAGTGTTTTACAGAAAAAAAAACATTAACAACAACTAATAAAAAAGCACCATTTCAGTGAGAGGGGTGAGCCTGTTTAGTTGAGCAAAGCAGATGTGAATTAATTTTTCGAACCTTGATACAATTCACAACAGAGTCTTATAGATTTTAAATCATCAGGCATTTTCTTGACGGCAAAGGTCTCGCGGTGGATGTTGTAATGCGTACATTAATTTCTGGAGCAACTTATCTAATTCGTGCAACTACACCGTTATGTCAGCTTGTCATTGCTCTAGCACCGTCTGTACAAACTCAGACGCATTATATCCAGTTGAGGCCATTCTCTACGATAAATTCATTCAGAAGCTGAAATATGTGCTCTCCTGTAGTTCCTGTTGGTAGCGGTTTACAGAACAGAAAGTCTTCATGGAACATGCCCTCAAACTCGTATCTAACGTAAACGAGCAAATTGGCCAAATCTACTACAGACTCATCTAATTGCAGTGAAATACATCTGCTCATCTTAACGCGCTCTATCAGTGTACTTTTGATATAATCCTTCATTTCAATAATTCTATGAATGACTGTGTCTTTCAGGGGGGACAGCAGGTTTTTCTCTACACATAATACGTGTCGGCTCTTTTGCCAATGGTAAATAAGGTTCTTCAAAAATAGTGTAGCTTACCTGCTTTAGCAATACAAAAGCTTGCATTTTTCTGCGTTTCCGTTTTTATTTCCGTATTTATTTAAAGTTTTTATTTCATGCGCATGGGAGTGAAACACAGAGACGCTCGGTGTATTTTTCTCAAATTAGAACAGTTCTTAAATATTTTTCTGTTATCACTCTTTCGTGTGCTCACAAGATTACCTGCGTTCGTAGCACGTATTTCTATGCATTCCTGTGTTTACAATGTTGGCATTGTTCCAAAATCACGCACATTCTCCTTTCTCTCTATTTGCTGGAGATACAGTAGCTTTTTTTAAATACAATTGGTCACTTGCATCCGTAGCATGCATTCCTATAGAGTGGTATAGAATTACAGAATATCTCTTGTGTCCACTGAAGTATTAGCGCGCACTGTATCGTACAATAGTACGTAGGCTGCGTATTCGACACGTATTAAAATACAAAATATGAAAACCTGTCCCGATTTTTCAGCTCACACGACACAGTTCCAGGGTCATTTGGCGTACCACTTGGCGGCACTCCATGTACCACTGCCGGTACGCGTACCACAGTTTGAGAACCACTGTTGTAGAGGATTCATTCTGTACAAGATAGTGCCTGAAATCCTGAAAGATGCCACACAGTCATGTGCCAGCACCTCTGCATTCTACTTCTCAATGAAAGCTCTGACCTAAGGAGTATGGTACAAATGTTTGAGTGTGTTTTTTGTTAAAAGAACAGAGATGTAACAAGAGATCAAGCTTAGAGTTTTGCTTGAGATTTATACTCTTTATACTCAATTACGGTGTTAATGGCTGGTGTTTAGGACTCTGGACTCCTGACTGGAAAGTTGTGGGTTTGTATCTCTGGGAGGGACATTTCTGTTGTCTCCTCAAGCAAGGTACTTCATTCAGATTCCTCCAGCCACAGAGAAGGTTAAAAATGTGAAATGAGAAAGTCAAGATGGCTTTCCCCATGAATATGACTAAGTGCTAGTTTGTCTGTTGCCATGACTCAAAGTGGGAGGTTGAAAATGGTCTGTAGCTTCCCTTTTCTCTGGAAATTGATATTTCTTTCATACAAAATCTCACTGACACCAGTTGCAAGTTTAAGAGGAATATGCCCTTACTCTTTGAAAAGCTAAGTAAGCTAAGGGTCTAAAATAGGTTAGTAACTGCCCAGAGACGAAAAGAGCTCTTCTGACCTGACAGTCACAAAAGCCAAAGCAACAGCTTAATTAACCAGGTCTTCATACAGTAGATGATGTTTAAAGCTCATGACCCTTTATAATGGAGATCTTCTGTTCTGATCATCTTTAAAATAAAAGCTGTTATTGTTCTTTGTTTCAAATAATGATGCAAGACTGTTTGG